ACATGAAAAACTTTCGTAGGACGTATTTTCTTGTAAAGTTCATATTTACTGAGATATCGCACTTTGACGCACTAATGAGCAACCCTGTATAAAAAAAGTGTACCTTTTTATATTGCTTAATGCTAATTCCTGGGAGCTAGAATGAAGATCCTTAGCACATTCAGCCACACTTTTTGAGTGGACGAAAATAGGGTTGCAGTCTAAAGCTTTACGCCTTTTCATCTTTCTGTTAGCGATGTTGCGCCATTTTTTACATATACTTATCAAATATCTTCTTTTGATATTTGTCTTTATTTTCTTTAATGTTTCTTGGCGAAGTTTTAAATCAACCGTTTCAACCTATAAAACGGTATTTGAAATACACATTTCAACAGTTTTAGTGAATATCTTACCATTTTGTTAACAACTGACTTAACAGTTTTTTGAATTTCCAGATTTCTTTCCTTCTCTTCTTGTTCACGTTTTTGTTTCTCCTTTATTTCATTTTGTAGTTTCTTTAATTGTTCTACTTTTTGCTTCCTTTCTTGTTCGACCTGCTTTTCACGTCGTACTCTGTCCTCTTCCAGTCTTTTTTTCTTATCTATTCTTTGCTGTTCCAATTGTCGTTGTTTTTCAATTTGCTCTTGCCTTTTCCGTTCAGCTTGTTGCTCCTCCTTATAACGTTTCTCTAGTTCCTCTTGTGCTTTCTTCTGCTCCTGTCTCTTCTTTTCCATTTCAATTTTAAGCAGCTCTTCTGCGCTCACTTTTGTATCTGTATCAATATTTAATTCACCGTCGATTACCTTATCTAGAAAAATTAACCGTTTGAATGCAGATGTTCTATAAAAGCATATATGTCTAACTGAAAACTAGTCTCACACTAACCGGTATGTTGAACTATAGTTGGATTAATAACATCGGATTTTAATGGGCGATTGAGTTCGAATGTAAATCCACCTTTGCTGGGAAAAGCTGTGGGGTGTTCTTGATTACTTCCACCAAATATGTTTTTAGGCTGGGACGAGGCAAATGTTTCTGTTAAATTGGGTGCCTTAGGTTGCGTTCGGGGATCTGCCCGGTAGTGTTCAGTAAATAGCGTATTTGGCTACAAGCAGATTGAGATCATACAAAAATTATATCTTCGAATAATACGTTAGCTGTAAAAGTACAGAGCAGAAATAATTTTACCTTTCATGCAGTCGACTCACAAATAGATTACATCTTCAACTTGATAAGCATTAATTAATTCCAAGAAAAAAATAGCACTTACCTTATTAAATACGTTTTCGTTATGAGATTTATTCAAAAATACATTGTCCTCTTTTGGTTGCTGACTGAAAACGTTACTTTCATTTCGTGCACCACTTTTAAATACTGGTGCGAAAATATTTGGTGCGGAGCTCAATTCATTCTTTGGTTTAAAACCATCTGAAACAGTCAGCAATAGTTTCATAAAAATATAAAAAATAGTATATAACTTGCAATACCTGTAGAATCCATTTTATCAGCTCCAAAAATGTTATTTATCTTATCTTGTTGGATTTGAGTGGATTCCCTTTTGATTTCAGAGAAAATATTTGACGGTTCCGTTTTTGCTTGATTGAAAATATCTATCGAATCGGTTTTCTTTACAGCAAAAATATTTGAATTTTCACTTTTAAATGGAAGGGCCTCCGATTTTGATTGAGCAAATATATTGGCATCGTTTGGGGCAGTAGGAACGCTCCGCGGTGCTTTTCGAGTAGTAATGTTAGACTGTACCGTTGGTGCGAATATATTAGTAACAATACTTTTTCTCTCTGGGGTGGACTCTCTGAAATATCCGCGAATTAAGAACAGACAACTAATAGTAATTATTTACAACCTCGAATCAACATCATCCAGTAATCGTTCTTCAATACCTAGTTCTATGTCATTGAACAATTCATCCTGAATCAGATAGCCGTCTTTATCAAAGCTGTTATAGACTTCATGAGACTGTACTTCCATGTATAATTCGGGAGATATTTCCCTACCATTAACTACAGCGCCTTAAAATTGTACTTTTTGTTAATATCATTACATTACAATATCAATAATTTTTTTTCTAGTGCTTCAAACCTACGGATAAACTTCAAGACAAAAACAATATCTGCATACCTACGGATAAACTTCTTTTGCTTTCTACACATTTTGATCTTTCCAAAACATAGGGATACTCTGGGATACAGAAAGTGCTTCGATCAATCATAAAATTGGTATTGTTCTTGTTCATTCCGATACCAAATGTTTTCATGAAATCCACAGTAGATTCAAAGTCATCAAAAAGAAGCAAATAGGCTATTTCTGGAACTGGGTAAAAAGATATGCTTTTGGGCGGAGTAAAGCATTTGATCAGGGATTCTATTGCTTGCAGCCGAACTTGCACAAAATATCGCATAAGAATACAGGCATTTAAATATGTCGTTGATCTTATTAGTTTGAAAAATTTCACAAAATGTCGCTTTTCGAACGCCGAGTATACTTGAAGGGCAAACTTAACTTCGGGAGATTTCTGAATATCAGTACGTAAGTTCTGGACCTATAAAAAAACCAGTTATAATGTTTTCAACATGAATGTTTAAGGAGCAGTTTACCTCCCACATAAAATTGCCATCACAAATATTTAGCAATATTATATACGCTCGGAACTCCGGTTCGTTTGGACACATCTCTCCTTTAAGTTCCAAATCGTGATACATGTACTTTAAAGTTTGCAGACACTTGGTTAGATTTTCGGTGTTAATTTTCTGATCAAATACAGATGGGTCTTCACCCATAAAACTGCAAAAGTATCACTTAGTAAACATTTAATTGCTGCAAAATCAGAATTTACCGTGCAGAACAATGAATATGAAATCTTGCACATTGCTCGACTAATTCCACTGAACCCTGGGAACATAAAGCTTGTTGCGTTATATCTTTCCTTATGCCTCTCGTGCGGTCCCATAGAAAATGAAACCATTCTCCTATATTTACCTAATAATTTTTTAAATTATTTGTAATACTCTATTAAATATTACTCAACAGAAGGTTGTAAAAATGGACGATAACATTCGAATACAAGATTCGTAAATACACATTAATCCCATTTAATTCTGATTTTTTACAGTTTGAGGCTCCTAAAATTGAGCAGAGCGTCTTTCTAAACTTCCAATCTAAAGAAAGTAGCAAACTTTTTTACGATTTTCACATTTTATAGACGATATTTCATTCTAAAGCACTTTGAAAACACTGATGAAAAATGGAGTACTTATTCGCCATGCACAATTTAATTTTTACTTACGTCTGATTCATCTTCGACCAAATCCATAATATTATACATGAGATAAACCATGGTCATTTGTAAAACTGACACTGGCCTCAGCTCATGTGCTAAAGGCGATTCTTGATCTGCTGAACTTCGACTGTATTGTTTCACTGCCTTTACTTGGCTCATTGAGTGTCTATTCGTTCCATCTTGCTCATACATTGATACCTAATTCATTTAAAATTGAAGCACAAATCAACTACCTACATACATATAAACAATTTTGAGTTAACTTTGAAAGTGGATAAGTTCTTATTGCTTTGAGCGATTTCATTTCTGTTTGGAACATTATCAAGTTCCATTATTTCTGCCAGGCCGCCGAAAATTTAGTGCTTCAGATAAAGTGCCTACAAGGTGGAAACAATGCAAAATTTGTGAAAGTTCGGCATTCTCCAGTTAAACAGAAATATTTTTTTTAAATTTCAACACAAAAAGCACAAAAAATGGACCTTACAATTTAAAATGGTGTTTGAATTATTCGCTCCTTTATTTACAGAGTGATCTCAAAAGTGACCTAAATGGAACTTCCCTCGAAATGAGGTATTCTTGAAATTAACGTAAAGTTTGCTTCCAAACAATCCGTTCTGTCTGGTTCCTTCACCAATCTATCTCAACTCATGCAAGCATAGAAAGAAAATTGTTTAGCATGAACGACTTGTTTGAAGCTAGCAATAATTTTCATTGAAAGTCGCTGTCGCATATTGAATTTTTGTCTAAAGGTGACTAGGAAGTTTGAACTTCAACATGAGCTCTAGAATTTCAAAATAGATCCAAGCAAATTGTTATTTACACAAGACTAAACATATTTTTTAGACTGTGACTTAAACAGAGAAGCGAGAAATTGAAAAAGCGTTTCCATATATGAGGTGTTTCACGTTCCACACTGTAGGCTCGTAGAAAAAGAATAGGACATGATAACGCTCCAAACGAAAATTAAATCAGGTTTGGACGTGTAACTATTATTTTGTTGAACAGTTATTTGACTTACCTGGTGTTGTATTTCACGCAATAAGCGTTCCTTCTCGGGACACATATCCGGACAAGTTCCTAAAGTGGGCGTATAATTTAAATTGGACTTTTTCATATTTGACCTAAAATTTTCAAGAAAGACATGATAACACTGAGAATACGTCCCAAACAGATCATTATACCTAAAAAATTTGTCTCTGGCATCCAAAAGCTTGTATTTTTCATCAATTGTTGTTGCCTGAGACCTAATGATTTTCAGCAGATCTAATTGCTCAGCTGTAAGTCTACACAAACCAGAATTGATAAATTATCTTCCAGTTAATACATACATTGACAAATTAAAGAATCGCTTAGTCTTGATACTCACGTTATAGTTTTTGGTTTAGATTTCTTTTTGAGTAATTTAAGTTTATTCGATTTGTCTGCAGGTACTGTTGTAGTGACCTGATCTGACTTCTTCCATACTCTGTTTAATTTTGGTATCAATTTCGGTTTTCGATGAGGCGCAACATCTTCAGACGTGAGATCAATTGACTCTAAAATATGTTATAACAAAGGGCACATCAGAATAAAGTTTCAATGTTCTAAAAAATAATATTACCACCTTTAACATTTGAATATCCGGCCATTGCAACAAGTTCCTCATTCAATTCTTCTTTATCTACGTATGACACCCTTTGGGTATTGCTTGTTTGCATGCGAGGATTGCGATATATTAACTTGTGGGCTCGTACTATTTTTTCTCTGCTTCTTTTCATTGGTCCGGAATCACTTTCCGAAGGGGCAGGTATGGTAACTGGTGACTCAAACTGTAGGTTTACAGCTTTATTTATTTGATATACTCAATGCTTCAAACTTTTATATAATTTAAAATATTATCTTGCAGCTCTAGCAATCCACACCAACGAATTAACATTTATTTGTGACTTTTCGACTTTTATTTGTCTCATAGTTATAGAGGTAGTACCAGCCAAGAAATATATATTTTTTTATACTATCAGTAGGTGCTACTTACTGGTTCTAGTTTAAAAGGATGACCTTCATATTCACTAGGCCCGGCCAATGCATTAAAGTAGTCATTTTTATTAACATACTGGACAACAATAGCCCGTTGTCTCGGTTTGAAGATTACCCTTAGGACTTTTCCAAACTGTCGAAAGTATTCTTTGCAGACAGACTTATCCAACTCGAATATTTCAGGGTAATGCGTACATCTGTAAATCGCTATTGCTTGAACAGAGTTTACGTACAATTATATGTATTATATGTTGATAATTGTAAACCCTATACACATTTCAGGTGAGAATTAAAGCAACTTCTCTCAAACCAAAAATTGCATGTTAAAAATTTAGCATTTTAATTCTACTTACTGTATTTTGTATATCTGGGCTCCAGTTTCTGGAACATCACCATCTGAAGCCATAATATCACAGGTTTGGGTATATTATTAAGATCTTTGTTTTATTCAGAAATTAAAAAAAGCAAAGCAAAGCAATAGTGCAGTTTTGTCATTTTTACTAGTTTTAGGTTGGGATCACGTTGGGATTTTCCCACATAATCTAAAATAGCAGTAGTTCTGTCAATTTGAGGGGTATATATAAACTTATATTTATTAATTAATTACTTATTTACTAAACGAATTCTTATTATATTAGTTGCGCCAGTAGCTGTAGAGATACGAATTTTTTAACTAAAAATAAAAAATAATTAACCCTCTATATAAATTTGAACTAAAAGGCACCGACTTACATTGGCAGTAGGTCAATTTTACCATTATATTGTGGTTAAATCTGTCATTTATATAATTTTACAAATAGTTTTCAAATTATAATTGTTATGTTTTAACAACCGAACAGTTTACCATAAAAATGGCCTAATTATGGAACCAACCAGTCAAGAAGAGCTGGGACTTCATACCAGAGATGCCTTAAATAAATTACATGTAGATATTGAGTCAGTTTTGCAACAGTTTAAACATTCACAGAAATGCAGGTAATTTAAGAATTATTTTTTAAATGCGCTAGACTATGCGAATACAAGCTGCCTCAATGCCAAATATCCATCGCTGCTGGATTTTCTTCATTAACAAATCACGTTCCAAATAGGTGGCTGAGAAATTCGAAGATAAATCGCCTTATCTGTTGTCAAGATTAATCAAATTCATAAAAAGTTTCAAGTTAATCATGGAAATGTTGTTATTGGAAGACTTAAAAGACAGGAATGTTCAACATGCATGACTCAGAAGATGTGAGGCAGTTTCAGTGAGAAAAATAACTACCGTGAAACAATGAATATGATGTGAATTCAACCCATTCAAACGATATAAGGCTGCAAGATAAAATATGTTTAGCCGTTTAGCCTCTCCGCTCTATATCTTGCTAGCCGTAGAACATTAATTATTTATAGTTTATGGCAGAAAGCATCATACATGAAAGTTTAAATAATGTCCACATAAACACAGTTTCCTTGTCTACGCCTGCGAAATCTATTTTAGTCGTTGAGCCAAGTAGAAGTAATGACTTGAATCTTTGATATTTTTTCCAGAAAATCAAGAAATTGGGGATGGGTGCGAGACACCATCAGTGCCAAAAGCAAGCATACAACAATCAATTGGATTTCAGCCTCTTTTCAATTATGGGCAGCTGTTGCACTCGTTTTGGGCTATGTTATGGATGGCGATAATGTTGAACTCTATGAGGCATTTATAATTTTTCTACTTCTTGTCGCTAATCTTACTATAGTGCTGTATGACAATAAATTAAGACATGATGAGGTAAGCGACGACATATTTCTAATTGTATGGAAGGAAAGAAGCATTTGTACATTTCTAGCTACCTAGAAGAGTTCAAATGGTTCTGGATAGGATCAGATGTGAAGTAAATTTTGTTGATTGGAAGGCAGATAATTATCCAAATTTGCATAATCCCTTTTCTCCTTGCATCACATTACAAGGAACGTACAGGGATGGGCAGCTGGTTAATCTTCCATGGGCGCTTTTAGTCAAGGATGATATTATTTTAAGTAAGTCGCAGTAAATATCTCACTGTTCATTTCATTAAAAATTCAATTGTATTTTAGTAAAACCAGGTCAAGTTAGTCCAGGCTACTGCGAGGCATTAGATAAACAGACTGAATTCCCAATTTTACACGCCAAAGAAATCTATGCACCATCTTTGCAAAACGCGAACGAAATGTTTAGTGCCCCCAAGTCTAGGAAACCATTAGAATCAAAAAAATATAGGTAAGTGTCAGACGGAATCTTTATCATAGTTTTAAGTTTTTCTTATTACTGATTCATTTATTCTGCTATTTAAGTGACTAATAAAGGAATGAGTGTTTTATGTAAAAAAAAACGCTCAGCAAATTTAAATATATTATTTAATATGCGATCCGGCCCAACGAAAGGGTTACCTAACGCTCTCCTCGTATATTTAGAAGGAATAAAAATTAGGGAATTTTATCATTTTATTTTATTATATCATTTTAAAGGGAACATTTTACTCACAAAGGCTATATGCGTGTTTCATGATCAAGATGGTATATCACACTTTTGATTTTTAGATGGTTATCTGTTAATTGTATTTCATTTTTCGGTGAACTGATTTTTTGTAACTGTAAACACAAAACAAATAGCATAAAGTAATTGTAGTGAACAAGATGCGTCTTTAGAAATCGAGGCTGAGCGGTTATTCTTAGTCATCAGGAGAAATTTCTAATTTATCTAAATAAGTACACATACATATAATGTTTATAGAAATTATATATATAAGCTGGAACATTTTAACAATGTATTATTATTTAACTTTTAAGATTACTCGAAACACCATATTTATATAATCTCAAGCTGTCGCTAGAAGAAGCTTTGGATAGGCCTATAACTCAACATAATCAGCAAAGGCATTTTGTGATGAATCGTGTAATTGAAGGCATAGTGTTACCAACGATGTTTTTTACTGTACTTACAGCCAATGCTTTTAGGTAAGTGATATTTATAAAGTGTAGTTGCTATCACGTTTTGATTAGCAGCAATATGTAGTATGTACTGAGATTAGGGTATATCCTTATTATGTGCGTTAATCTTCCTAAGAGTTTTTGGCGGTTCTAATATGCGGCTATCATATTATTCTTTATTGATTTGATTTAATTATCCACTAAACACTTTGCAATATTTCAGGTATTTTTATTTCCAACAGTATTTGGGACACTACTCACTAGCAAACATGTTTTTCATTAGTCCAAGTAATGCAATTTTACCATTACTTCCCATTGTATTTCCGTTGGTTTGGAACGTTTCAAACTATGTTGGAATGGCAAGGTAAGAAACACTTTTGTACCTGACTTATTTAATATTATTTTATTGCAAACATTCTTTCATTCAGCCGTAACTAGCCGAATGTGGCATTTTACGCAGTTTAAGAAAATAGTAATGAACATAATCTATCGTTTCATAAGTTAAGCTGCTCTGAAAATTCATATTTTGACTCTTGTCTGCTATAAGAATTTTTTTTTGCTTCGCAGATTCAAAACTATTTTTGATGCAACTCGAAATGTTGAAAGTAATTACAATTCGTTGGAAGAAGATGGCGATACCCAGCTAGAGTTCGTTGAAGATTTTAAATTTAGCTATCAAGATATGTTTAAGAACTTTTTGGACATTTGCAATGGCAAACCAAATATTTTGTTTCGAACTGCGAATATCTTGCATGTTTTGGGCTCTGTATCGGTAAGTATTGTCAGTTTAAATTTCCACTGTTAAAACGCTGCAATTGGGTTTTTAATGACTTTTAAACCGTTCTAGGCTTTGGGTTGCATTGATAAAAAAGGAATTTTGTCTTGGCCAAATCCCACTGCTGAGAAAGTATTTTTTCTACATAATAATGACAATGAATCGAGTAGTTCAGAAAGGTAATTAAGCTCCAACAAAATACCAAATTGGTTCATAATTTTCATTTCAGTTTAGATAATGTGAATGATCTAAATACAGATCAGTTCGAAGCATCTGGAACGTTGCAATTTGGACCAGGCAGTCCGGTTACAGCCACGGCTGAGGTTCTCGATCTTACTCATAATCATAATGATGCCTTCAGATTGCGTTTCGATGATAAAAACTGGCATAATTTTTTGCCTTCATTGAAGCCGCTTGGTTTGGCCATTTTACTAAATACCTGCCATATGGACACACAGGTACAGTTTGAAAAGTTCTGTTATACTGCAATAATTATTTGCTTGTTTATTTCAGGATCAATATTCAAATTTTTGTTCCCATATAACATGTGAAGCGATGTACAACGAGGATTTGGTTCCAGTAACAAACCGACGGTGTCTTTGTGAATTAGCAAAAGAAATAGGATTTGTTGATCAAGCACAGAAAATATTCCAATTAGAGCAACAATTATCAGTATTTAGGCATTTGGTAAACTATGGGTTTTTACTTGAAAAAATTCAACAATTAAAGTTATATTAAAATGTCATTCATATCTTGAATTTTAGCAGCCCGAGATGGTCAGAAGGGATAATAAGTATGCCAGAACCTTACATCTTTCTACGCGTTTAAAATTTCCGTTTCCACACGCATTTGCAGTTGTAGTTCGTGAATTATGTAGTGGAAATATGCAGCTGTTGAGGTAAATATTGCGTTCCGAACCAACATCTTTGATGAATCTGAAAAAATATATTCCAGTGAAGGAACAGCAGATATTCTTTTGGATTGTTGTGTTGACTATTGGAACGGCAAGGATTTGTGTCCGTTGACACATTCAGATCGAAAGAAAATTCAGGACTTTTATCAGCGAAGTAGTTTGACAGCATATTGTACTGCGTTTGCTTACAGGTAATTTACATGTGCGAATTACTTAGATAGTTTAAAAACACGCTTGATAATTTCCAGACCTTTAGCAAAATTAGTTAGTGAAAAATTGAGCGAAGTCTATTTGGAACTTCCAAGCGATAGCAGGCACCTTTATATGAATCACCGAAGCCCTACACCGGCACATTGGGATTGTAAAAGTGTTCTGGAACCACAAATTCATAAGAGCGCTCAGTTTTTCAGTACAGGTGAGGATTACACTTTTCTTTTTTTAAGCGATTCTGGGTTTGGAGGGTTTTTCGTTAGTTAAATAATTTTGCATCTTTTAGATTCGCTTTTATACAACGATTATCCAACTAAAAACAACGCTTCGGACGCTGAGAGTTGTTTTCAAATGCAATGTAACCAAATATTTATTGGGATGGTCTCTATGCAGTATCAAGCTCTATCCGATATGGTAAGAATACAAGTCTTTATTTGAATGCATTTTAAAAACGTGATTAATACTGTCTAGGTTCAGTTGATTGAACAATTGCAACTAGCATGTATACGATTTGTACACTTTAGCAAGGAAAACGAGTTAAGATCTAGAGTGTTTAATGAAAAAATGGGCCTGGAAAGCGGATGGAATTGCCATATCTCATTACTGAGTGACAGAAATAAGTAAGTCTGTGGTTGGTTATATTCTCTAACATTGGGTGCATTTGCATGTTGAATAACGTTTATAACTTACTAATAAGAGGTGAATCGACAATACGTACATTCAAGATTGTAAGAATTTTCTCTTTCAATTTGACTTTAGTCAGAACATTTATTTTTATAGTTTTTACCGGTTAATCAATAATTACTGATTTGTACGTTTACCGACATTTTCGTTCATATTTTGAAACATTGCATTGCTGCATGAATTGTTTCCGCACAAATAAGTAGAACATCTAGAACTCAATGAGTATTTAAATAATTAAATTTATCCTAAATGATAAACAACGATAGAAGTTTTTGTGCATTTCATGTTATCTTGATTGTTTTTCTCTTTAAGTAACAGGACGCCGAATTTTCAATAAATTTCCAGTTCCAACTTGCCATAAAAAACATACATTTAGATATATTTTCAATATCGTACAAAAACATTTAAATACTACGGTGTTAATATTTTAAAGTTTAAAGGCATCCTCAAAAGCGCAATCGTGTTGTAAATGGTGCACTTTTCATAAGAGCTTGAATACAATATTTTTCAAAGCTCATACCTACTGAGCTTGTTAAACGCTCTATGCTCTATCTGAAATCGGTGTAACTCTAGAAGTTCTAAATATTGACAAGTTGTTTCTAACCCACTAACCCACGTTTTCTACCCTTCTTGCTCTTTGGCTCTCTGTGCTCTCTTGGTGTGTAAATGGGATGTTATGGGGGTTGTAGAAGGGAAAGCACCACTCCTGTTAGTTTGGACTCGTCGCCAACCAATACAGGCAAAGAACTTACTGTGGAACCGATTGGGGCTGTAGACGACAAGTCGCTGTTATTAGATAGGTATTGTGTAGTAGAGGAATAGAAGCGCTTTCGTTTATCCTTTTTCAAAAATATTATTGACTTTGCAATAGAGAAGTCGTTGTCTGAAGTTGCCTTTAATGGCCTATCTGTTGTAAAAAGTCGATAATATTAATCGAATGCTTATTGTTACAAAGTTTATTTTAAGATCCTTACTCAAGACTAGGCGTTAAAATGTTTTTTTTTTATAAGGAATCTTGTTGTTATTCGTCGTCTACTTTTGCATTTAATTCTATTTACAGTGATAACATTTATATACTGAGTGATTATGTTTGTAGACATTTGGAATCATCAAGGACAATGAGTTTTTCGGCACCCAGCGCTATTAATTTAGATCACTCGGTGGTAAAGTTTGATACTGAAGTTGAAAAATTTCATATCTCTCGGCGGCAAAGTGAGGCTCAAGATGACGCAGCCAGTCAAGATAGTTTGCCTGTACACGCTGAGAGTACTACTCACGATTGGCAGTCACTTAGCTGTTTGACCGACAGTACTGAGCAGAGTGCACCTATAAATTTTGATATGAGCAACAGAGTAAGTACGATCTGACCAAAGTACTTCAAACATTAACGTTAGACAATCGGGGTTTTCAATACAGTGGAAGATTTGGATACTTCTAGTTGGTAATTTTAAATTTTAGGCCAAATTGCCTCGCGGAATAGACAAAATCCGACCTCACATCGAGCTAATAGATAATGTTCCACTCTTGGTGTCTTTGTTTACTGATTGTACACCTACAGCGACAAGAGAAATGCTAAGAATAATGCAGGATTATCAGGAAGTAGTTTGCATTTTGGGATCGTCGCAAAATTGCGACAATGCCGGCATATTCATGCAAGCCGATGCAGCGTAAGTATAAATGGAAATTGCTGTGCTTCAGTCAATTGAACCGTAATTTCTTCAAATGTGCGTTTCTAGCCACGCCTTAAAGCCTTAAAAACTGACTTGTTTAAGAATCTATTTTTTATTTCTTTGCTAATACTGGTGTTCTGCATGAATGGTCTTATATTTATTTTTTTACAATTGCTTGTTTAATAAAATATCTATTTACTAAATGCCACGAAATTGTAGAATATCAGTGGAGCCGCTTTATCCACAAGTTTGTCAAAAGGTGGAAGTCTGCAAAAAAATCAATGGGTTCAGTCCAACAGATTTATCATGTCTTCTAAATTCAATTGCTTGTTCTTTAACCATCAGTCGATCGGATCCAATCTCAATTTATCATCTAATAATGGAAGCCCGGAATTTTGCCTCAACTTTATGGAGCTCGGGTTTGTATTTAAATTGACCAGAGTAAAAAATATATTGAAAATGTCTATTACGTTAATTTTAGTTCAATATTGGCTCTGCTGTTGTGTCATTTTGAGCCTAATGCAAGTTGCTGCTGTTGTTTTTATGCTTCCGGAACTGATGACTACTGGGCATAATCTTTGGTTAGCTGGAGTTGTGGCTCCAGCGATTAGCATAGCTCTCTCCATGACACCTGTGGATCCAGAACTTATGAAGAAGCCACAAGGCAAAATTCAAGCTAGTTTTCGATGGAATGTAAGTCTTGACGTAAATAGTAAATTAGTTTGCATATAATACGGGTTAAGTGTGTTTAGTAGCTACTTAAACATTCAATATTGTTTACTATCATCAGCAGATATTTACAAAAAACTATTTTTTTCCTTTTTACTATTTACAGACAAGTATTTTCATATTTTGGTGTTATGGTATCAAGTTCCTGCCGACTGTTATCACAGTTTTAATTTCGTACGCTGGAGTGTTATCTAGTCATTGCGACCAAATGTGTTCAGAACCCTTCTCCGATTTGGGACCATGTAGGCAAGTAAATAACCGTCCAAAACTTGATAAATGTATAATGGAATTGTTATATTTCAGATGCATTTTCTTTTACAATCCAACTGGTTATAGAAATATTTCGGGTGGCGCCGATGTTGGAGGTTTTGAAGAAGGTAGTTGGACCCTTTTGACTGCAAGACTGATTGTTATCTTTATTGTTTTATTACATTTTGGTAAGGATTATCCACGTTGAAAAAGCAAAGGTTTTAATTTTAACATCAATGCATTTTTTTCAGTTGTACTTTCTATAGGATTTGTACATAGGAATAGCTTAATCCACAGAAAATCACCTCAAAGTAATATCATTTGGTTGACCACCATTTTCCTACTGTAAGTACTTGCATCTTAATAATTTTTCCAATAGATTAGGGTGCAATTGCAATCTGGAAAAGGTTTTCAGCTGGGTATCATTTTCAGTTTTTTTATTATTTCTTTTCTCATAATCAAACTGTTAATTGATCATTTAAAATTTTAGAGTGTTTTGCCAGAGTCTTTATACATTGATAACGTATAGAGGATTAATGAACACGGAACCACATAACACTCAGTTCCCGATACCTTTGTGGATCATATTATTTGGATCAATCTCGCCTTTAGGAATATTTGTAATTAATGAACTAGTTAAAAAAGCTGAAATCTCGTAAGTTTAATTGCTAAAAATGTATTATTAATGTAGGCATAACTCTTATTATTATGTTAAAGGTCAAACAAGAGATTTTTAAAGAGAGCAAGACTGGATTTTGGTACAAAGTTGGGAATGAATTCGCCATTTTAGAAGATTCCATTCACTGACTCAACACATTACAGACTACTAATATTGTCTTGCCCATTTGACGAGTCATCATCTTTTAAAGTGCCAACGTTTATTGGGTATGACTTTCATTGGTTATCAATCGGCTAAATTGTAGTTGTAAAAGGAATATTGTTTGAGTTTGCTTCCTTATCTTCACTCTGCATTAATGGAGTATATTGCATCAAAGATCGAATTTGTATATGTTTATCTACTAGAGCTTGCCACGATTTAATTTGCTTTTAAATGGGTATTTTTGTGTAGACTCACTTTCTCTAATTCAATCAAAGCTTAGAATGAGGAGGAAAATATTTGATGAAAAACTACTACTTTCTCGAAATACCATTATTATCTGCTGCGTTGTGATATAACAAATGGTTTTTAGGAACTTATTTTCGCAGCGGGTGATTTTGTACATACGAAATTGCAATAGTTTTTATATAATGTGTCACTCTTGCTTTCAACGTTTCTTTCGTATACGAACTGTTATGTATGTGAAGCAAATATTTAGGGCGAGTCAGCTTTTATGGTAACAAATTGTTACAAATGGGGAATGGGGAATTCATAAATACATAATGCTTACTTGCAGCTTCAAAGTTTTTTTTACTGAAAAGTATAATTTTTTAATTCTAAAAAGGCTCACTGAGTTAAAAAAAATTATACAATCAGCAACTTCTCGATTTGTTAATCTCAGTAAAGAAGAAACGTTTAGTGCAAAAATCTAACTCGAAACTAAGCGAATCAATTCCTAAACTTCAAATATCAATTTTTAAGTGAAAGAAAAATATGATAGATTGCCAACTCGTTAATTTGTTGATCATAAATGCTGCCTTACTCTATTTTAGGGTTTTGTTGTCAATTGGTTGTTATTTATTTAAAAAAATTACGAAATTGAATCGAAATGGAAAACTCATCTGTTAGGGCAGTCTATAAAATATATTCGAGTAGAGAGCCGCTGGAGAAAATTCTATGGCACAGAAGATTGCTCGAATTGTAATCAATTATTTTATATTCTAGCTATTCATTTATCGATTTAACAGTATGTATATCTGTAGTTAATTGACTATTTTATCGATTACAATTTTGGTTTTACGAAGTTCTAGGACTAACCCCTAAAGACACCGGTAATTGTTCTGATAAATGTACGAAAAATCCTATTATTCTATTTTTATATATTATACTTCTAGGTACACATATATTTGTTTTGTTGCTCTAAGATTGGAATGTTTTCAAAGTGTGATAATAATGTTTCGCTTGCGTCTTCAAGGGGTACCAATCCAGAATGAATTTTTTTACAAATACATATTGAAACAGCATTTATTGAGTGTTTTTATCTTGAAATTGTACACAGATTGCGGCTTTCAATATTGGATTTTGTGAACTAAACCGAATACCGAATAAATACACTTGTATTTTCCATGCTACAGAGTTATGCTAGTAAATAGCAGTTTATTGGTTATTTCAGTATTAGTGGTTGACGAGTACTAACGTGTCTGAATTTGGAGTGATAATTTCGATCATGATTTAGTAAGTGTGACAAGACATTAAACATAAACAGTAACATACAGTCTGGGGGTGTTTTAGGAGTATAGTAGAGAAATAGAAAAAATAAAAAAAAAATTAATTCAAACAAATGCGAGGTTTTGTAGACAGCCAAGCCTAAAAATAATCTGATGTTTCCCAATTATGGGTTTGTTTTGAATTTTAAACCTGATGATGGCGCTCTTGTCTCGTCAAAACGTAATATAAAATAAACGATATGAACATTTTTATTTTACATTTTGACTGAAACCCAGAAAAGAAAAAAATATTATAAAAAATAGAGAAAGTGACAATAAAATAGATAAGGATAAATGGTAAATTCAACAGGATTCGGTACATGTAGGGAACGTTTTTCTCGTTCTCGTATTTGGTTAATTAACTCCTGCTCAATTTGTACGGGTGTTCAGTAAACCATTGGTTTAATATGTCCTTGTGTTAGGTGTATCTTACATACGTGGTAGGAATGTAGCCGGTATGGTACGTGCTAGGAATGTAACCAAATAAATTTTGGTGCCTGGTAAAGTGTCAGTTGTTGTGCAATGTTTTCGAGTACCCCTGGAAAGCGCTGTTGCAATTATCTCCAATACCTTATTCCTGTTTGTCTGGAACCTGAACATCAATTGTCGTCCACTATCTTCATGGAGTCAGCCTTCCAGTGTCATTGGATCTTTTTTCTTACAGCTTCTGCTATTTTGTACATTTTGTGAAAGGAGCAAACATTTTCTTAATTTCAAGCAAATACCGTCATTTTTCTATACGAACAGTTAAGTATTCCAATAGGGTACGAATCAAAGATGGGACAATTTAAAAATAATTCTTAATAATAAAGTTGATATTCGATTTTCAACTGTTAATAGAAATTTTCGGAAAAAAATCATTATTTTTCTCGTACTATCCAAGTGAGCCCCTCTGATCCCTTACTAGGAATGACGTCAATTTTGAAACACCCTGTATAGGCATTTAAACAATATGCAAGGTTCTAAAGTTTGAAGACGATTTGTTCTGTGCAAAGTGATCTAGATTTTTTTTTTCGTTTGATTTAGGTATTTTGTCGAGGGTGTCCCCTTTATTCCACCAAATCGGCTCACGCAAAATCGTATTTCATCCGACTACAAAGCTACAACAGCCATTTTTGCAGTCGACTTTTATCTGGTCATTATAGTCACGTATTAATTTTGACACCCTCCTTTGTTTTAAGCACCCCCTAGTATAAATGGGTCATAAATTTCATAGGGTTTTAATTTTAGACCGGGATCGAGAGGGCATATTTGCATAAATTCATTTTCCCCCTTTCACGTTCTGTTAGCAACCTTGTTAAGGTGGGCCAGTGGATTTGATTTTGATTTGATACTAACATAATTGAAATTTATTTACATTGATGCTCAGATCATCCTGTTAAACGAAAAAATAGTGCCGTAGGACTGTGCGAGGACGATACACGATATTTTATGATTGAATGTTTTTTATTTTTTCAATTCCTTTCTTTCTGATAGTTATCGATATATACCTAATCCAAATCCCATGGTTTTAAATGAAAACGTTAATTAAAAGATCGAGTCACATACTTTTGCGTTAAATGGTCTTTAAATTTCTTGTAAAAGCATGTACATATATCCAACAAACAGTAAATCCATCGACTGGGGTAAATGCTGATTTGAATCTGCGAAATTTTAGTTTTTCTACGCAAATGGAAAATCGTGCCAATTTTGACCAATTTACAGAACATTTTTTTCATTAAACAATTAGCTTAAAATCTATTATTTTCATTAGCACATAAAACTCGAATCATGATCATTTTTTATCTTATGATATTCATATCAATTGATTCATTACAACACATTTTTGGTGCTACTCCATATACTCAAACTTTTGCTATTAATCAGAAGTTTCAGCATTTGGATTATTTTCTTGCAACTGAAAATACCTGAGATTTGGTCCTTCGAGCCGAATTTTCTTGGTTTAGCGGACGGGCGGAATTTTATCGTGCACTATAAAAAAATGCTAAAAAATCGCGTAATCTACAAGCAGTGTCAAAAACAATTCTTTACATATTCCCCATCTTTCATATTCTATTCTATTCTATTCTTCTTCATATTCTTCTATAAAATGCCGTTTTCCAAAAATTGTGATTTTCATAGAAAATATACCAAAGCATGGCCCAAAAATGCAAATTTTTGTCGTACAAAATAAGTACTTATAACTAAAATACTGCACACGAATATTCTTATATAAAAAATAACTACAGTACGAAGATGTTTCAAAGGATCCGATAAACATAATGCCTCATTATCTTCATCAAGTTGGTAAGGCAGTTATTACCGACCTATAACTTCTAAGCTGAGTCTTTGTTACCGGATGCTTGCTTATACCTTTCATGCTCCTCTTGCCGAGTTGAGGATATAATTTCAAGATAATTTTGGCAGCTTTCTGGCAACTTCACAACTTCCCGAAACGTCTAATGAAGTTAGGCAAATTGTAGCAACTTTGGGAGTGCGAATATCTTCGCAGTAATTCGATTTCTATAATATGACCACGTATAACGATTCCAGAAACTATAGACTGAGTTGATATTAGAGGATATTAGACTTGAGATTTGAACTCAACGAAGCTGAAATTTAATTGAATTGGGCTAAATTTTAAAAGTTTGCTATACGAATCAGATGGTATTTAGGCAAATTTCTACTCAAAGCATTCACTTTCCGACTTTTTATTTACAATGCGAAAAAATACCACTTTCCTTTGCATAAGGAAGTGTACGAATTTATAAAGAGTTTGTTGTTCGCAAAATAACAAAACTGTTCTTTGTGTTATAAATAAATTAATACAGTCTTTAATAGCACAAAATAGTTGAAAAACCAACTCTGCCCAACGGTTTATCCAGTTAATATTCTAATATTTGTGATTAAAAAATGTCAATTTAAAACAAATAATTATAAACATAATTTTTTTTCAATGTATACCTTGTAGATACCCTTTCGAACAGTGTTGCACTGAACAGTAAGGCGTCATTTTATTCATTTCCATCCTACTTTGTTTATTTATAAATTCATTGGTTACGAAAATGGTTTTATTTTATTACAATTGTGCAGTTTTTATGGAAAACCTGTGAAAAATATATAACTTTTAATCTAATATAGTTTGATAGACTCCAGGTCAAGCCAGCAACACTAATATTTGCGAATGGCCGACATTCTTTCAACACTCGGTATGTCAGAAGCGAACTCAAATGGGGCCGTTATATACAAGAGTTAAACATCTTAAAAAAAGGAAAGATTAAAAAATATAGGGTGTCCCGTAAGCACATGATCAAAAGAATATTGCGATATTCTTTGCATGAAATCAAGACGATTTGACCTAACTTTTATTAACAAAACATGTCTGGCCCTTCTACTATTTCTGGTCAAAGTTCTTCAAAAATATTATTTTTTTTGAAATATCGGGAGAATGGTACGATGTATTTTGGTAAAATTCGCTGTGAATTTGTTATGTAAGACTTATGTAAGACTTATGTAAGACTCATATTTTGATGGAACAATCGAGCATCCGTTTGGGACAAGTGGTGAATTCTTGAGTGTTGTGATATAAAAACTACCAGAACTTTTCAGTTGGTGGATGAAATCAACTCATTTTTTTTTTGGTTAATGCACTAATTATTTATTCACAATTTTGTGCTCTTGTGTAAAATCTCGTAGCATTCATAGTTTTTTCGAAAAAATATATTTTTGTTTTCTTGGCACTTAACAATGTAAGACATTAACTGCAAATATCGTGATACGAGGCATAAATTAATTGTCAATAAATCTCAAAAATTCGTTTTGATTGACCTTTTTTAATGAAGAAATGACCGACATGGTCAAAGTCTCAAATCCATTTGCATGGAGGCATAATGAAGCATTTCCACACGTTTATCACCATCATAAATCATTGAACTAATTCGAAAAATTTCAGCTTGATTACATTGGAATCTCGAAAAGCCATTACAATTCAAAATTCGAATTTCCTTGCAGTTAAATCGTACAAATTATTTTATAGCAGGAGCCATCCATTCCACGTGTCTGACAGTACCAAAACAGAGCTGTAAGCCGAAATATATATTTGCGATTTTGAGTGCAATTAATGATTTTAATCAGGTAATAAATCTTGTACTGTAATTGGCTGAAAGGGTATCGTCATGATATAGTGTACTATGAATAGGTAAGCCAGGGGTGAATTTGCCAAATTCCAAAGGGATTTGAATCGAACTTTAAAGTTTGTTTTTGCGAAATGCGAATGTTTTCAAAAACGTCCAAAACCTTATGTTTATATGTCCTATATATGTCTTGTAATTTTCAATTTTAATTTTAAATCTTTATTAAAATTTAATTACATTTAATGATCCACATGTTCCAACTTCTCACTCTTTTGCACGAGCGTCAAATCTAGAAAGTGCTTAACTAGTTGCAAGGAATTATCCGGAATAGTCGAAAATTTGCGAAAACGCCGATAAGAAACGTTATGTTAAACTTTAAGTACCCGATCGGGTTTAAATGTTATATTAATAGACCAATAATAAACCAAATAGAAAATTACACAATAATTGTTGTTCTATTTATATTTCGGTCGAACGAAAAAATACATTTTCATTATCTAAATCTCGTATGGTATTCGAAACGACATGTTAAGAGTCTGCATCAATGAAATTAATTTAAAGCAGTTTAATCTCTTTAACTATATTAATCTGATTTTCTAGATCAATGGAACTTACTTAGGACAGAGGGGACTTAAGTACTTAATT